GGAATAGGAAGGAGAGTAGCTGCATTAGCCATTACTTTCCTATGTTCATATACAAATACATGACCACTGTAATTCCTCATCATGTACAACCAGAAGAATGAGAAATTGTATTCCATGTATGTATAATATATCAAAATGCATTCTACTGTTATGTATAACTAAAAAGAACAAATACAGAAAAATATTTTAAAAAATAAAAATTAGAAAATGACCTTACAAGAGGAAGTATGATTTTGACTAATGGATTGGTGTTGTGGAGACATTCCAGGGGACAGATTTACATGGGTGACATTTTGAGCCTGGAAAATTGACTGCATTCAAAACCAATGCATGGTCTCATTTAATAAGACCTTAGAAGGACTGTCAAGACAGGAAGAGTAATGAGAGTTAAAACTGCATTTGTAGGTTAGGGTCATTGAAGAGATTTTTGATGGCATATTACAAGTATATGGAATATGTCCTATCATTAACATACATTAATATCACATATATCACTGTTATTAATAGAGAGTATATTGCATGTAACTCTATTTTATAGGTCAGAATTATTATGCTTTGGATGTGAGGTAGCCCCTAAAATCTCATGTGAGACAATGCAAGAAGGTTTAGAGAAGAAATAATTATGTTATGAGAACTTTAACTATGAGTGAATTAATCTACTGATGGGATTAAGTCAGTAGTAACTGAAGGTGGTTAGGGTGTGGTTGGAGGAGTTGGGCATTGAGGGCATGGCTTTGGGGTATATATTTTGTATCTGGTGAATGGAGTCTCTCTCTCTGTGCTACTGATCATCTTGTGAACTGCTTCCCTCCACCACACTCTTCTGCCATGAGATTCTGCCTTACCTTGAGCCCTGAGAAATAGAGCCGGCTGTCTATGGATTGAGAACTATGAAAGTGCAATCCCCCAAATAAAATTTTCCTCCTCTAAAATTGTTCTTTGTCAGGTCTTTTAGTCACAGCTGTGAAAAAGCTGACTAAAACAAGAATATATTACAAAAAACTAATTGAGGTTCAAGTTTGACCTTTCAGAATTATATAGTAGAAAGGGATAGTAGACAAGGACAAAAACCTACTGCAAGAGCCCAGGTGAGAATTAAAAGAGATCTGAACAATCACAGTCTTAATACATATGGGAAAAGATGAGAGTATATGGATGTGAGGAACAATGGAACAACTCCTTTGTATGTATAGATTAGAAGTGCCTCATATTACCAGATCATGAAATAGAACAGAACAGTAGAACATTAAGAGAAATAACTCCTTTTGTTTCATATGTTAAGTAATTATACCTCCTAACTGCCAGAATTATTGTGCTAACATATACATATATAGCAGAAAGCCTAGAGATTTAGTCAGTAAACATTATTATTAAATGTTCAATAAAATTACCTAGTAATAATGTTATTAATGAAAATAACTGACTTTAAAATGTCTTTGTTATTTTATTTTTTAAGAATAATGAAAAGTCATAAAGTAAAATCCAAACACTACAGAAATATAATGGTATAAATACTTTCAAACAGCAAAGACAATAGTAAAAGTTTGGTACTTATAGAAAAAACATTTTTCTCTTCCTACAGAATAGAAATATACACTACTATTATTTCTGTTTGTAAAACAAAACTGGGATCATTCTAAACAACTTTATCCTTTTTATGTATAAGAATATTTTGGAGCTCTTCCCAGAACAACACAGAAATATTTCTTGTTCTGTTTAATAAGGCTACTTACTTTATTACATTAGTGTAACCATATAGAATCTACGGAAACATCGGGAAAACTAGGTGGAGGTTCAGGCCCAATTAAAGCAGATGATAACTTTGTGTAAATTAGAAAACATGTTCCCATAGGTGTTTACAATTTCTTTGGTGCATGTACTGATTAGCCAACTCTGAGCTGAATTTTGATCCCTGCCTTTGTTTCCTGTTGGACACTTGTGACAGAGAATAATATATGGAACCTGTCAAGTGGTCTTTGAAATCTCTTCTGGAACTTAGATGGCAGCATGAATCTCAAGCTGTAGAGTTTGGTTTCTTTTCAACAGAAATCATAGTTGAGGCCTTGGATGGGTAAGAATAAATGAGAAAGATAGAAGCTCTTGAAGGAGAAGATTATATATAAAAAAAAATTATTGAAGAGCGATAATTCCAAATCCATCTGTGAGAATGGAACAAGGGATCCAGAGACAGCGAAAAAATAATGCATAAACAATAAAATAATCTCTATTCAAGTCACATGATAAACTCTAGTCTGTCAGCTTTTCAGGCTACATATTCACATGTATGTATGAATATATCAAGGTATCACTCACAATCTGAGCCTCTGCTCTCTGTTTTCTGTTTTCTAAATTTGGGAACTGAATTCATTCAGAAAACTGTTTGGATAAATTCCCTGCTGTCTGAACTGTCACTCACCACCAGAAACTGAAGAAGCAGACAGATTCTGACAACATAAGGTACTCACTCTCCAAACTTACTTACTATATGAGCTCAAGACACAAGTGAATTTTAAGACGCACTTGTATATACATTTAAATTTCATTTTAAAATCTGGAGCATCGAGTAAAATTTCCTCCAGCCCATTGTTTATTCAGCCATATGCAGGAATTTAGTGGTTAATTATTGTATCTACATTACATATTTTTGTTGGGCTCTTAATAATGTACTCTTGAACAGATTTAATTTTATTGCCATGAAAAATGTTTTCTTAAATATTTTCAATTGCTTCTTTTAACAAGAAAACTTCACCAAGTTTACCCTTTCTAAAGCTGATAATAGTGTGATTTTTCCTAAACTTATTTTGTCAAGTTTCTAAATTTATCTTGTTTTCAGTATATTAAGTTTTACTTATAGAGATTTATTGTACTACTTGCTATTAGTACAAGAATGAAGGACTCAATTTTTAGTGTCACAATGTTTTAGCATTTCATTTTAAAATATTAATTTTACTATAAAGTAAAAGTTGACTTTTTTACTTTCTTAAAAAATACTAATTATTTCTAAGAATGTTTTCATTAGAAAATATTTTTTGCTGGGTCTGTGACTCCTTAACTAGGGTTTCTGTTTAAGACACATGGATATTATAAACAACAATGAAAAGAAAACATAGTTAAATTAATAATAAGTACAACAAATGTTTTTCTCTTACTTTTATAAATTGTTTAAAATAAAAAGTATTCAAAAAGGTTTCAGTAGATATAAAAAGAATGTTAATTAAAATTTGTTTTATCTATGTATAAGCAATCAAACATGGTACTGCCTATAAGAGACTAAGAAAATAATTTAGGGCTAAAACTAAATTACAGAAACAGTTAAAGTCTCTCTTATACCTTTGTTCTCAATTGTTCTCCCATTTTAGGTATAATTGAATTAACTATTCCATTGATATTTTTGGAGCAAAATTTTAAAGCCTCACTTGAACATATGGGATATTTTTATTTCTTTAGCTAAGTGGTCTCACTACACTTTTGTTCATAATAAATACAAATTCCATCATTGCCATATTCAGTGATACTTTAATATTAGTAGTCATCAAAACTTTTGTTTACCATTATCAATCAAATATTTCGAGGGATGCACTCAATATTAGTGTACATATTTATCGTACATGAAGATCAATTAACATTGATAAAATACAAAATGAATATATATGTAACACTGTCTACTTTAAACCCCCAGAGTATGTATACTCTCATTTGTAGATAATTTATCTGTTTCATATCATAAAAGGACTGAGTACCTCATCTTGTTACCCAGTATCTCAGAGGTTGTTCTCTTCTATAATGACTAAGAGGTACCTTATTTCTTCTTCTTCTACTTCTTCTTCTTCGTTTTTTTTTTTTTTTTTTTGGTCCTATCCCAAACCATTCTGTCTACTAAGCTGAATCTGTTCACCAAAACTTTTTTTTTCTCTTTTACAAACTATTATATCACAATTTATACTTTTAACATGAAATCCTTTAATTTTTCCTGGAGCTTATTCTTCCTAGAATTAAAATTCATAATTTTTCAAAGTTTAAATTATTATTCCTGGGGTAAACGTAAGCATATATAAACTTGTCTAGTTGACCTGGTTTATAGTAAATAATGTGGGATTTTGTACTGGACATGATTTTTTGTGTTGTTTGAAATGTATATTTGTGTACACCATGTGTATGTAAATGTTATCTTGTTAGGAATATCTTTTTATAAGACTTATCATTGCTGATGCTAACTTCTTATACCCTTAATTACTAAAAGCAGAAATATTTGATGAATAATTTTAGTTATGTCTACTACTAGAAAAACCAATATTACCTTACTAGAATTTACTTATGGGGGCAAAAGTAGCCTTATAAGTAAGTGTTAAAGAGATGAGTTTATTTTAGTTGCTGAAAATATTTGTTTCATGGGGTATGTGTTGTATGTGTGTGTTATGCAAGCTCATTTATGCATAACATAAAATTAAAAAAAGCAAAACCTTCTAAAATGAAAGCAACCCTTTAAATCTTGAAGAGATAATTTAAAATGTTTTCTTAACAGTTTGGAATTATAGCAAAATATGTGGATCAATAAAGCCACTAGACATGGGTACATGGTTTTTGAAGATATGAATAGGCAGGAACTGAGGGAGAAATAAGTGTGTGTATGTGGGTGTGTGTATCTAAAGAGTTAACTTCATTTATAATATTTTCTAAATTTAACAGATATTTGACATATTTTCGAATATGGGGGCCATATTTTGCTTCTTGAAAGGACTGGTATTCTGAATGTAGTTTTCCTAAGTCTCTATCTTACTACTCTTGATAATTATCCTTTGGTCTTCTAGTGACAGAGCTAAATAACCAGAAATCAGAAAGCAAAATTTTGGAAACTAGTTTGAAAAGGCCTTGTTCAATGGCATATGCAGAATGTCATTTATTTATTTTTTGTGACAGTTTTAATAAAAGTGACGTGAAACACAAGGGACATAATGTTAGCGATATTGCACCTCAAAAGAGGAGAAAGTGCAGTATGTTACCTCCTGATTAGCAGCAGCTAGTTCTTCTTCCAGTGCAGAGACTCTTTCTAAAGAAACCCTCAGTCGCTCCCTTACCTAGAAGAAAAATCAAAATATGTGCAGTAATGTACATCCCATGCATATTAAACTGTGCTGAACCCATCATTAACATCATCAGAGACAATTTGGCAAATAATAAAGTATTTATAGCCCTAAGTGCCCAGAATAATAAGCTTGGCAGGAATACTATGAATACATTGTCACCTCGTAGAATCCCTGTATCAAGGGAGTTTCTTGTAAGCAAATCCTTTTGATGGTTCACTGATAGAACTTCCGATGGGTTGGAGATTGACTGGTCTTGTTCTCAATTCTGATTCATAGTAAAGTATATTATGAATTCATCTGAAAAATAGTCACTGATTAAGCATAAAAAATAGGCAAATTTTTTCTGTTTCTTTAAGTAAATTTTCATTTGATGTTTATATTGTAACATTAAAAATGATTTGTCTAAAAGCAAAGTGTTCTAAGAACCTGAAACATGTTTATTGCTCCTATGTTTTGTATTAGTTTGAAGTCTATATAATTTTTGAGGGATTACAAAGTGCTTTAAAATTCCCAACTATCTTCCAGATTTCAAAGGCTGAACCATATATTTTGTAGAACCAAAAACTGCATCTTTCAGTTTGAAAGTAATTATGATTAACAAATATTTCACACATAAATGAAACTCCAAGAAGTTTCTTTGACTCTGGCTTTTCTCTAACTTATAAAATTGTTTTATTGGTTGCATGTTTAAACATATAGATGTTCTCTACATTGTATTTATCACAAGTAAAATATTTAGAGAAAAACTGCTGAATCAAAATGAATGACTACAGTGGTTAGTTTTCCTTCAAAAACATCAAATTTACAATATTAAGATGCAGTTGATCATGAATTTTAATTACATAGGAATTAAAATTTTTCCATATGCATTTACAGTCTTTATGTAGTGAATATTTATTTTAATATTATAATCATATTCCTTTATACTTTAATTTTGATAATGTATGAATTAAATGGTATTTTTATTGTTTTAATAATATTTAACTGGAAATATAGCTAAGTATATAAAATATATAAAAACCAGATACAAACAAATTTTAAAGTTGGAGTTGTAATATTATTTTTCAGTTAAAAATCAAAGGCCAGTAATGTCCTATTAACCTAGAATCTATAATTAGGAATAAAAATTCTCAATCAGACATTTTAATACTGAATTATAATTACATGTACTTTCAGGTGATTGGGGGCACTCGACTCCTTAAATGCATCTTAATTAAGCAAGAAAAATATCTGAGTGGGGTTTTAACATTAATTATATTTTTTATGCTCCAATTATTTGAAAAGTAATAATACATGCATAAATGAACATTTAATATCAAAAACAGTTTCATGGGATCTTTCTAGCTGTGCCAGCTTAAATGCTAGCTTTCTGTGTTATAGCCAAATATCCAGTTGCTTATGAAAATGCATAGAATTAACACTGATTAATAAGTAAACAATAAATGCTTGGAAATTTTTGATAATTTAATTTGGAGAATTTTTTTTAAATGACAAATTTTGGGAGAGATAAAATAGAAGCAATTATCATAAAGCCATGAAAATGAGAAGGATAACCACTATGTGCAATGCAGATATCATAGAAATATTAATAGACATGCCTGATATTTAATGGAGATGATTATGAAGTTTTATATCTACTTCCTAAAATATCAACTAAATAAGGGTGTTCTAAGATGGTCTAGGAATTCTGGCTGATGAGAACAGCAATGCAAAGTCACTAAATACATGATAATGCTCTCTGTATGCAACACTGATCAGCTCATACATGGAGTGCTGTAAGGGTTAAGGTGCCAACTTTGGAAGACAGAGATGCACTGGAATGTTTCCAACAGAGTCAATCAAGCCACATAAAGAATAACTGAATCCAGGCTGTATTGTAGGTGAAAACAGCTTCCTGACTTTTGCTAAACTGATAATCTTAGAAACTATTCTAATCTGTATTCTATTTACCACAAGTGGAGCATTTTATAGTCTTATTTTATTGAAACTTGAGGGAATAAAAATTATTGAGCTTATCCAACAATATGAAAATGGAATATCATCCCTCAATAAATTTAGAGATGTTTTTATAAACTATATGACCCAGAAAGTAATTAATCTAAACTGTCTTCCTAAGCAAATAAAAAATGATCTATGTATATATATTGAATTAATAATATGAATTTAAAAATTGAAACTGTAAATATCAATAAAGTATGATATAAATACTTTACTCACATTTATATGAGGATGAATTATTCTCTGTACTTTTAATTTCTGGACAAGACTCAGGCAAATGAAACACGTTAGTTTCATCTTGATCTTACCTCTGCTAAACTTGGGAAGGAGAAAGTGGAGGGATCCAAAGAACTAATCTTTCCAGGGCACAAATAATTTTAACATTCTACTTTATCTCCATGGCTTGAACTGAATTGATAGGAAAAAATAGTCTCTCTGACAAGACTTTTAGCTTCTACTCTGCTCTGAGCATGGCACTAACAGAACACTGTAGTTTTGTTTGTTTTCAAATAGTTTTTTTTTTTCCTTGTGAAGCTATCTAGACATGATTGACATAATATAAAATTATAGTTTAAACATTTTTCTAAATGTAAGGACACAGTTGATATAGCCCTATTTTAACTTTTTCGGACTTTTTAAAATGATTGAACCACTTCAATTAATCTAACGTCTGTATACTCTTTCCCCTAAGATAAAATGATTGGTTATTTGTTGAACTATTGTAGTAGTAACTCTCAACTCCATATTATTTATTTACCTATAGAATTTTTCATTTTTCTTTTCATCTGTTATATTGACTTTCTTCAAAATAGTATGAAAAATACTCAGGAAAGCATTTTTTCCAAAAGCTGTTTCAAGGTCATAGAAATTTTACCCCTGAAGATTAATATAAAACAAGTCCCTGAACATGACAAATGTGTTTCAGGATGAAGAGAGATCTTGATGGAAGAAACACAAATTCCAAATTGAAATTATGGTATGGCATAATGGGTGTCATTTGGGGGATTATCAATCCTATAACACAGCATTTTTGTGAGGAAATCTCCTTATACTACAAGTCAAATTATTTTGACTTGTGATATTAGATCCTGGAAGTATAATAGGAAGGCATGTGTAATTACTATGTTTTGACCATGTATGTCTAATACATCTGGTATTTAATAGTCAATGGTTTCTGAGTAACACAGGGATATTTCTGAAAAACACAGGGATATTTCTCATTTCCTCCAATACTGGTAAACTTAATAGAGGATGATGTCAAGATTACTGCTGATCTCAGTTGATTGTGAAAATTCTACCCTACAACTCAGTGGTTGTATTAATAAGTAAACATCAATAATGAAGACTGCCAATCAGGGTCACTGTCCATAGTTATACTCAATCCTATATAGTTTATTTGGTTATTTGTATTCTAAACTTTCTGTGATAAAGTTGGTAGTTTCTTATCCCCAACACAGGTTAATTATATATTTTATGGCTTTTATCTGTGTTTTAGCATAATAACCACAATGCTTAGATTAGAATATTGAAATTGCTTCTTTATGTCTGTAGCTTTGTCCCTCCCCATCTCCACAAAAATCTGTGAGCTACTCTTAGTTGGGGAAACTGTCTACAAAGGGACTTAAGCACACATTAATTCCTCCATGACTAAATTAAATGCTATTTAAACACAAACATCTGGATCAATAGTGATGGCAATGTCTATTTAGTTTGAAAGTTTTAGCAAACGCTGAAATTTACTCATATTAATACTAATGTTTATTTTTTGAGGACTTTTCATAAGCTATGCACTGGCTAAAAGCTAGATCATATCCAAGCTTTGTGGTAACTCGAAGATAGTTACTGATGTTACTCTCATTCCAAAGAAGAAGAAAAATGATGCTCAAAGAATTGGATCACCTGTCCATGTTAATCCACTCCAGATCTCAGGCTCATAACCTTCTTTTTTTGGGCTATTGAACATTCCATTAATTGATAATCTATTCAGTTGCCCCTAAACTCACCAGTGACCAGTGTGCTTCTGTTTCAGTTTATAATAGTATTATAACTCTTAGAGCCATATTAAAGAATTCTTCATTTAATTATGCTAAACTCATAGAACTTCTGTTTAGCAAATTATTTCTAGATTCTAATTTCTGCAAAAACTATTTTCTTCTTTAATGAACTCACATCATCAGGGTATTTGTCTCAAATACTGTTTATTTCTTTCAGTTCTAGCAAATATCTTTCTTTATAAAAGCATCCCTCAAGTGATGTCAGAGTGCTCTTAGGGAACATCCCAAATCACACCTTTTCTAGTACCTTGGTCTGTCCCTTAAAACGTTAAGCCGGGTGTAGTGGTACATGCCTGTAATCCCAGTGGTTTGGGAGGCTAAGGCAGGAAGAACCCAAGTTCAAGATCAGCCTCAGCAACTTAGTGAGGTGTTAAGGACTTAGCAAGACCCTGTCTCAAAATAAACCATAAAAAAGGGCTGAGGATGTAGCTCAGTGGTTAAGCACCCCTGGTTTGAATCCCTGGTACCAGAGAGAGAGAGAAGAATGAAACTGTTAAATTTTCTCAGAATCAATCCATGTTCTTCTTAGAGCTATAAGAAGAGTTATATCGTGTGTTATATATATAATATACATACGATGTGTTATATATATATATATATATATATATATATATATAGTGTGTTAATATATAGAGTTATATTGTGTGTTGGCCATGCTGTCTACTGTAACTTTCTCTACTTATAAACAAAGAACAAAACAAAACAATAACAAAAACCTCATTCTTTAGTTCTCAAATAAAAAGTCACTTCCTCTTGAAACATTCTCTACTTTCTTGTCTGTGAAGTACAATTTGTCACTGCCTTTTTGTGATTTTATATTATATTGTGCACATCTATTTTTGGTATTGCTTGTTATTGATATGAATATTGATATGAGTCTCCAGTCCTAGGAACTATTCATTCATGAGAAGAATGCCTTTTTTATCTTTATGTGCCAAATAACTGCCAAGGAGTCTGGCACAAAGTAAATATTAAGTCTTACAAATTTTTAACAATGCCTTTTTGTGATAAAAGAGGGAATATAATAGGAAACTAAACATTAAACATATTAAATGATTATTTGATAGTATGTTTAACATAGATCTTTATATAATATCCATTCATGTTTTATTCAAAGTTATTAAAAAATCAGTTTCTTCTCATGGCTAAAATGAAAGATGAGATACGATTTCTTCTTAATTATCTAGAAGACAGAATTATAGTTATCCTTATGCACATACTCCACATAATTCCCTTCTCCAAGAACATCTGAAAGAGTGATGATAAAAATATATAGGTATATAAATATTAAATAGAACAAAAATGTCTGCATGCTCAAAAATTAGATATAACTGGGCAATAATCCCTAGTTTGAATTTTAATCCTCAGAACTTGTCATATATTTTATAATAAAGTGCCCCAATTCCCACTGTACTAAATCCCAAAGGCTTATTAATTTTTAAAGTTCATTCTTTGAAATTTCACAAAATTGAAATCATAAACCTTACTAATCTCCAAAGGATATTATCATCATATTGGCTTATATATGCCAGTAGAATTTATTTGAGTAACAACTAAGAGAAGCTTAGAGCTACTTTTAAAAAGACCTAAAAGCAAGTTTTTCTTCTAATACCTTATGCTGTTACATGCAGAGACTCTTAAAAATGTATATTTGAAACTAAGATATTAGAGACCTAACAAAATGGAATGCTTCTAATATGAATGTCTAAAAGTTAAAGTAGACCCAATTTTCACTACGAAATAGGTGTAATTTTCGGGTAGTGGTCTCTTATTTTGGCATCTATAGACATGCATTTCAGAGAGAGAAAGAGAGTGGGGTTGGAAAAGAGAGAGAAAGAGAGGCTGAATGTCATTACACAGTATTAAATTTCAAATGGCCATCTGGACTAGGGCCATAATGTACCATAATAGAGGTATAATTTGAATAAGCCACAGATTCAGTGGTATAAAGAAAGAACATGGTCATGAATATTACAAAGATATACACAATAACACATTTCCATTTTTAAAAATTTTTTTTCCATGTAACTCAGATGAGTTCCTCTGAACTGACTGGCTGGAGGAGTCACATGAGTCATTGGGTAAAGACAAAGACCTTCATGCTAATAACAAAAGCATGGGTCAGCTTGAAATCTTTTGTCCATACTATACCTTTTCATCCAAGGCCTTGTGGTGCTCAAATAAAGATTTCAGCGCCTTGAGAACCTCAACTTCGCTGGACACTCCCGAGGGTGACTGAGCTTGCCGTTTTACCACAGTCATTCTTAATGACCTTTCATGCCGTGACACAAGGCACTCCAAATGCTCCAGTAGCAGCTATGGGATTGAACAGAAAATGAGATCGTCTTTTGGATACAATTAATCTGTACTCATAACTAATTTCTTCTTTCAACTATTACAGGCCTACGTAGTACACAGTGATAACCTCAGATAGTACAAGGGGTAAAAGCCTAGTAACACAATGCTGTCTAAACCAGGGTTTATAAAATATGTGAAAGCCAAGTTACATTTCAATCATTTTACAAGTTGCTGAATCTAAAAATATAATGCAAATGTCTAGCAGATTTAATAATTTCAGTATGGGTTCCATAGAAATAGAACACTTGATAAAATATGCATGAGCTAATGATAATGATTAAAGAACATTTATTCCTTGGATAAATGTAGGATGCATGATAATGTTTTAAAAGAACAGTATCCCAAATCAAAATGTATTTCATTTACATTTGACCATTTAAATTTTTTTGAGTTGAAGAAAATGAGTTCAGTCATTAGGATGATGGTTTAAATTATGGCGATAATTACATAATTTTATTCACAATCAATTTTTATATTACATTATATGAAATATATGCAACCAACTATATTTTAGTAACGGAGGTGCCCAGTAGTCATTTGGTAAAAGGAAGCTATGGACATGACCCTGTCTGTGTTGGAATCCACATCCATAGCAGCCTGCCAGGCCATGACAAATGTGAGGGGAGAATGCGGTAAACCCTTTCCAGATTGTTCCAGGCTCTGTGTTCTGTGTGTGCCAGAAAAGGATTGTTTTTAAATGTGAATGGGTGTTGCACATTTGTTTGCATTTTAAAAGGGAGTTCTGCTGCTAAAAGCAAAGATGCATGAGGAAAAAAAAAACAGAAGTTATTGGTTCTTATCAGTTATTACAGTTCTATCAGTGAAGAGCCACAAGCACCTGGTAGCATTTGTGGGAGAGATCTCTGAAAGAAGAGTTAAAAGTGTATGCTACAATAGTGTCTCTACAAAATAAGAAAAAAAATAAAGTGAAAATTGGACACACAAAAAGGGAAATGCAGATATAGGATGTAAGGAAGGAAAGAAAGTAATTATCTTTTTCTCAGACATTAACATCAATGAAATATTTTGGTTTTTACAATACCACTTTCTATTCAATGTTACATATTACTAACACATTTCTTGATGCTTAATATGTTAAATTATCTGCTTTCATTGTCCCTAATTATGGTTGGAAAGTGTTGGAAATTTTTGCCTGTTACTGACATAAAGAAATACAAATGTCTGAGATCTTAAACATAGATCAGTCATATTTAAGGGTCTAAATAATAGTATAGATTAACCAGCTCTAATTCAAAATTCCTGTAGACTCTCATCTGGTAGTAAATATACATATTCCAAAACTGAAAAACTCTAAAATCTGAAAAACTTCTTGATCCAAGCATAGCAACAAGGGATACTCAACATGTATTAGTTTATCTGTAGGAAGATAGCATAATCTTTAAGATAATACTCTCTAGGAAAATAACCACAAGGAGATATAATAATGAAGCTACACAGAACATCTACTAGTGATCCCAAATCCTTTTGGTAATCCTCTTTACAACATTTGACAAGTTCCTTACATTGCAACATCTACTTTTCCAACAGAGTACCAAAAATTCCCTACAATTTTCAGCCTTTTGTGCCATGCAGTTTTTACTAATAACACATCCTTGCAAAATGTGTCTTATGACGGAATATACTAGGTGAAGACATCTAGTTTGCTCAATGGAAGTGGCAAAGGAATTATGGTTTTTTAACTGAAAAGGAGACCTAAGCCCCTTACCAGTTTGCAGTGAACTTCTGGAATTTGGTACTGAAAGCTCAGACTACAGACTTTTGTTTTATTTGTTTGGTTTGGTTGTGTTTTTGCTAAGTATTCTAACCATCCATTAAATAATAACTGTCTGCTTAGAATAACTAGAGTGAATTCTGTTACCTACAACTAAGAACATGTTGCCTCTCCAGTCATCAGGTTCCACCAGCTGATACTCATTTTTTTTGTAATAATATCTGTCAAGTCCTGAGCCAATTCTCATTATTCCTTAAATGTGTTAGCTCTCTTTACATTGCCGTTGTTCCCAGTGTTATTCTAGGTATAATTCTTGATAATATTTATCATTCATTTAGATGATTCTTCCAACATATTGTCTTCTAAATTTCTAGACTTCATGCACTTTAATGGTCTCAATTTCTACCTTATATCACTCACACCCAGAGTTCCATTATAAATCCTGCTGTTATCAGTAAGTGCAATTCTGTGATTTCTGCTTCCATAATCTAACCCACAGTTCACTACATTTTAGCTCACCCATGTAAGTGCTCAAACTCTAAAAATACTTTCACTCTCAACCCTTTTATCATAGGAATTTGTTATTGCCTCTGACCACACTCACACCCTCACCACCTCTTTACTTAGCCTAAAATGAACAGTTCCATCTTTAATCTAACCACTCACCACTGCCTCCACGGCTCCCATGTTGGCCTAAGACCCATTGTTTTCCAGTGAATTATTGTAATAGTAGCTTCTTAACTGGTTCCCCCGCTTTTATCTAACAGGTTATTCTCAAAACACTGTTTTAAGTTAAAATATAAGTTAGGTCATTTATACCTCTGCTCCAATTCTCAGCATTTTCTCATTAGGCTAAAGTAAAATCCAGAGTCCTCACACATCCCAAGGAATGTAAATTGTCTGCTTTCATCCATTCTTCATGATTCTTCCAGTGTAGTTGCACTGGTTTCCTTGCAGTATTTTCTTTGCTTGTTGAGTTTTGTTTGTGATATCCATGTCTCTGCATTAGGCCCCCCTGTATTTGGCTTCTCTTCCTAAAATATTTGCTTTCAGAGACCATTTTACTCCATGATCCTTTCCATATCTTTACTCAAATGTCATTTTGGGGCAAGGCCTTCTCCGATGACTTCTTCTGCAGCTTTCCTTTTCATTTTTGTACCTGTCCCTATGTAATGTACTATTCATCTCATGCTGATCTTGTTTACTGTTTAAATCCCCCAAATTAATATAAGGCCCCTAATGAAGTTTTTCTGTATTTTGTTCAATTCTCTAAGCACAGTGTATAGAAATGCTTACATGTGCTTACTGAGTAAATCAATATACCCTAGAAAATCAAGTGTTTGCATATTTACAGGACACAAATCTTTAGAGAAATGGGAATCTGGGATATGTGGCTTGGATAGATGCAACAGAATGGTTAGATTAGGTTAATATCAGAAGAAGGAATGATGTTTTCCATAATATATGGAGGAGAAATAGTTAAATGATTACCTGTACCCTCTTGCTGTAGGGTGCTTGTGAAAGTCAGGTTTTTGGTGGACTGAGTCATGGCTGTACTAAACTATCTTAAAGAGCATGGAGAATATGAAGACAATGAGGTAACGAGAATGCTTTGAACTATACTAAAGAATTTGAAGAAAGAAAATGACAAGATAAAGTTTTTAAATTCTAGAGCAAGGCTCAGTCAGAGAATCCAAGAGTTGTTATGCTGCTTGTAGTAGCTTCTTATCAAGGTCCAAGACATAACAGAAAGAAAATACAGAGCTTGATCCAAGAAAGATCACTGAATTACAATATATGATGAATGCATAGATTTATCGGGTGTCTTATTTAAAATCTTATCAGAACTCTAAACCCCCCCCATACACACGTATGAAAGGAGAGATATTTGGAAGATTCACATTTGCTTGAGTTACTCATATATTGGATCCCAGTGATTCTCTGCTCTGATGAGGCTGATCCTTTTTGTCTTCTTGACTATACAATGACTTCACTTAAAGCAGGTACCTTACAAAAGAAGTTTTGGGTCCTTCTCTTCCACCTCAAAATCCCTCCTTGCCTGAAAACTTTCAACTAGAATATGTCGGAGTATATAACACAATCTAGCCTAAGAAGAGAAAGCTTTCCAGTCAAAAGAATTGTGTGAATTTGCTAATTTGTATTCTCAGAAGTCTGGCAATGTATGCAGAAATTGATGCTAATAGTGTTGAACAGGAAGAGAAGAGCAGAAATGTATCTGGCTTTTTGCCTCCGTCGCTAGCTCTAGGTGGCAGCCTGGCATATGTACTACTGCATCTTCAGCAGTACCCATGGCTGCCATCCATGCCGCATGGGCTCTTTCTTTGCTCATCTGCACCACTCCCTGGCTACACACACCACTGTCATAGCCACCATCATGGAGAAGCTAGCCAAGGCCAATAAAAATCAAGGTGACCCAAGAAAATGGCTTCTCCTCTGAAGAAGATACAGAAAGAGCAAAGATGAAGAAATGTCAAAAGATGACGACGGCCGTGAAAAGGCTATGAGTCCTCAGAGTAAAGGCAAGGAGGCATAACTCAGACAAAAAGGTGGCAGTTTCTACAACAAAAACTGGTTGCTATTGCCATATTTGCTAAGAAAGCAGTTGTCACCTCAGGAAAAAAAAGGCAGCCGCTGCATGAGCCAGAAAGACAGTTATCCCAGCTAAAGCAGTTGGAACACCTGGCAAGAGGCAGCCACATTAGGTCAAGTATTGGCAGCAATTGCTGGAAAGATGGGAGCTGACACCTCAGCCAAGTGGGGAAAGAATGGCAAGAATGTCAAGAAGGAAGACAGTGAGGAGGAGGGTAATGGCAACCGCGAGGAAGAAAATCATCATAGAGCGTGGATGAGGGTAGGTTTGGCCAGCTGTGATGAAAGCAGTAGCTGCTGCCCTTCCTCAGGGGACAAAGGCAATGAGCAGGACATCCAAGAAGATGAAGGAGATGGCCACAATGGGAAGAAGAGGATGCTGAAGAAGGAACTATGGAGACCAGAGCAGCCAAATGAAAGAAGCTCCTACAAAAGCTATTCCTGTGAAAGGTAAAAGCATGGAGGAAGATGAGGAAGGAGAGGAAGGAGAGGAGGAGACGCAAGATGGGTAGGAGGAGGGAAAGAGGAGAAAGAAAAGTATAAAGAGGAGGAAAAAGAACTTGTCAAAGAAGCATCTGTAAAATGAAAAAAGGAAATGATCAAGCAGCAATTGGAT